TATATACACATATATGTATATTTGCTAAATGTTCAAATATATTCCAATCACTGCTTTGTTCAGGAATTAAAGTTCCACCATAGCCACCTCCAGGTGTGTGGGACAGTGTGAGTTGTTGGTTGAGGCAGTCCTGCACTTGAAGAGGCAGAGGAGCAATTTCAGGGATATGAATGAATTTATGGATGATGACTATTGGGGGCGGAATCTTTGGTATACCATTTGATTCCGATTCTTGGTGTCACAATTCAATTTAGTATGATATTCGGTTCAAAATGATTCAATAAAAAAAGGTTACTATATTTTGGCTCTTACTGTAGTTTACTGTGTCAGAGTTGCCTCCTGTGTATTGCCCACTGAACTGCTAATGAAGCTTAACAGGCAGTTAATTGGCTCTGATGAATGTTGGAACCAAGTACTTCACATACTGCTGGGTAGCAATATGTAGAGTACTTGAAATTTTAAACATACAAGGTTATTCAAATGTGCCACAGCATTGTGATGAACAAAATTATATCATTAATTGTAATCCAATAATATAAATGTGAGCAAATAACGAGTAGGCCTACCTTTTACTTCAGGTTTTTGGTAGCTGGTGTGTATGTTGTAAAGCGAGGGGGAAGAATAAAGCAGAGTACTCTGTTGTGCTGTTGTCAACATTACTTTTGCAGCATTATTTATTATTATTATTATTTTTTTGCCTCTCTAGTTTGACTGAAGTGCTGCAGTGTGTATTGCTGAGCTGCTATGGCTTGCAAGTTTGGGTCTTCTATGGTTACCGCACAACTCTTGTACATGCACGTTTTACATATGCCTACATGAATAGATGGAAAGACCTTTGCACCATGCATGGCAAACTGCAAACTTGCTTTAACACTTTCATTCTGCCTGTGAAAAGCTGGAAAAATAAACTGTGGTGCGAAAAACACTAATACAGCATTGTTGCATGGTGAAATTTGTTGTTGATGTGAAGTGGTTTCTTGACAGGGCATTGGTTTGAAAAATATAATTGTTGTGCAAAAAAACATGAAAAATTCACCTTCAGTGTGAAAAGACCTTTAGTTGTGTTCATTTTTTTCATTAATAAGAGTCTGAGTGTTGTGTCCATTTTTTTCATTAATAAGAGTCTGAGTATGGCTAGGTTCTTAGGGTTTTGGTCATGCTTGTAAAATGTTTTGTCCTGTTAACATATTTTTCTGTCTTCTCACGTTCCCATACAAGCATCTTGTAGGGCGGTTAATTGGGAAGCAGGGGAGATATGTGAGTTTCTTGAAGCAGAACTCTGGTGCGAAGATCTACATCTCTACTCTGCCTTATACCCAAGAGTTCCAGATTTGTCACTTAGAGGGTGAGTTGGGGGGTCAGGTGTTGACAGGAATCAAAATTCTTACTGGATGAGGAAAATCTGACCATTTCAAAGACTTGTTTTGAACCACAGTGAAAACTTTGATTTCTGATTTATCTGTCTCCAGGTATGCAGCAGCAGGTTGACAAAGCCTTGTCATTGATTGGGAAGAAGTTCAAAGATCTGGATTTGACAAACCTATATGCACCTCCAGCGCCTCCACTCACATTGCCATCACTTCCAATGACCTCTTGGGTAAGGATGGGCTCTCTAGCTGCTATTTATTTAGTTTGTGTTTATTTTGAGATTATTGTTAGTTGATATAGATGGGACAGACTTAATGACTTAAACATATTACAGTCACTACAATCTAATTACATCTTTGCATTATTGTTTTGTTTGTTCAGTTGGGTGCTAGTATAAATATTCAGCTCAGGATTGACAGTCAGAAGGTAAGTTTTGATGAAGTGCTTAAAACAATGCACATAGATGGATAAAACATTAAAACACACAAAATGCACACTGATAAAATATTAAAATGCATATATGGATAAAACATTAGAATGCAAATTAGGCAAACCATTAAAAAATGACTGAAAAGCAACAATTGCAAGGCAGTACAAGTAGCAAAATGTTCAATTCTGCATTTAACTAGAAACAAGTGCAAACATCTTAGGCACGGAGTAGTGTGTTCTCCCTTCTTGGTGCTTGTCAGTATTCTAGCAGCAGCATTTTGAATTGGTTGCAGTTGTTTGGTGGTCTTATTGAGGAGGCCAATAAGTATTCTACCCTACTAGAAACAAATGCATGAATGATTTTTTCTAAATCCTTCTTAGACAGAAATTTTCTCATTTTAGATGTTTTTTTTTAAATGCCAGAATGATGAATTTGTAAAAGTTGAATAGTAAGGGCCCAAGAGCAGTTCCTTGTGGAACATCGTATTTCATCAAGGTTCTTTCAGGTTCATAATTATCGATACTGACCTATGTATCCCCTGCCTTCTAGATATGATCTGAGCCACCTAAGAACAGTTCCCAAGAGTGTGACCCAGTTTTCCATTCTATGTACAGCTGAAATCAGAAGTTAACATACACCTTAGTTCCATTAGGATCACTACATTATTTTAAGAATGTGAATCACAGTAATAGTACAGAAAAAGATTCATTTCAACTTGTATTTCTTTATATCACTTTCCCAGTGATTCAGACATTTACATATGACATATGCTTGATTAGTATTTGGTAGCATCCATCCATCCAGCTTCCTCCGCTTATCCGGAACCGGGTTGCGGGGGCAGCAGTCTAAGCAGAGATGCCCAGACGTCCTTCTCTCTAGACACTTCCTCCAGCTCCTCCGGCGGGAGCCCAGCCGAGAAACATAGTCCCTTCAGCGTGTCCTGGGTCTTCCCTGGGGCCTCCTCCCGGTGGGACATGCCTGGAACCCCTCCCTAGGAAGGCGCCCAGGAGGCATCCGAAAGAGATGCCCGAGCCACCTCAGCTGGCTCCTATCGATGTGGAGGAGCAGCGGTTCTACTTTGAGCTCCTCCCGGGTGACCGAGCTCCTCACCCTATCTCTAAGGGTGCACACAGCATCCCTGCAGAGAAAGCTCATTTCGGCCTCCTGTATCAGGGATCTTGCCCTTTTGGTCACAACCCAAAGCTCATGACCCAAAGCTGAGAGTTGGAACGTAGATCGACCCGTAAATACAGAGCTACCAGTAAATCGAGAGACTCGTCTTACAGCTCAGCTCCTTCTTCACCACGACTGACCAGTACATCGACCGCATTGCTGCCGAAGCTGCACTGATCCGCCTGTCAATCTCCCGTTCCATCCTTCCCTCACTCGTGAACAAGACCCCAAGATACTTAAACTCCTCCACTTGAGGCAGGAACTCCCCGCCAACCCGAAGGGAACAAGCCACCCTTTTCCGACTGAGAACCATGGCCTCGGAGGTGCTGATTCTCATCCCAGCCGCTTCACACTCGGCCAAAAACCGTCCCAGTGCACGCTGAAGGTCCTGGCTTGATGGGGCCAACAGGACAACATAATCTGCAAAAAGCAGAGACAAGATCCTGTGGTTCCCAAACCAGACTCCCTCCGGCCCCTGGCTGCGCCTAGAAATTCTGTCCATAAAAATGATGAACAAAACTGGTGACAAAGGACATCCCTGCCGGAGTCCAACATGCACGGAAAGACGTCTGACTTACTGCCAGCAATGCGAACCAAGCTCCTGCTCCGGTTGTACAGAGACCGGACAGCCCTCAATAGAGGGCCCCGGACCCCATACTCCCAGAGTACCCCACACAGGGCGCCACGAGGGACACGGTTGAATGCCTTCTCCAAATCCACAAAACACATGTGGACTGGTTGGGCAAACTCCCATGAGCCCTCCACCACCCTGACGAGTGTATAGAGCTGGTCCAGTGTTCCGCGGCCAGGACAAAAACCGCATTGTTCCTCCTGGATCCAAGGTCTGACTATTGGTTGAATTCTCTCCAGTACCCTGGCATAGTCTTTCCTGGGGAGGCTGAGGAGTGTGATCCCCCTATAGTTGGAGCACACCCTCCGGTCCCCCGTCTTGAAAAGAGGGACCACCACCCTGGTCTGCCAATCCAGAGGCACTGTCCCCAACCGCCATGCGATGTTGCAGAGGCGTGTCAGCCAAGACAGCCCTACAACATCCAAAGACTTAAGGTACTC